CAAAGGTGCAGGCCCCTCCTAGGGGCCGGCTAGCCCCGCCCAGGGCTCCGCCCCTCGCGGTCCGCACTCTGGGAGGCGGGTGGGGGCCGGCGGTGCGTGCAGCGAGGTCGGCGCACAGCTCCCGCAGCTCGTCGCTCGGGCGCTGTCCAGGCGGAGCCGGCCCGACACGGGCTGCAGCCATGGTAAGGCGGGCGGGCTCAAGGCAGGGCCGGGCAGGGCCGGCAAGGCCAGGCAAGGTCGAGTAGGGCTGAGGCGCCCAGGGCCCACCACTCCCAGGAGGCTCCGATGCCGCAGCCCTTGGCTGTGCGGGGCGGGAGGCGTTGAAGTCAGCCGCCCGGGGCTTGGCTCTCGCAGGCACTGCTGGCGCTGCTGCATCGTCTCTCCCCAAGTTCTACCTCTGAACTCAACAGCTCCAAGCGGGCCTGGACCCCCGGGGTTCTGCCCGCGGTCCTAGAAGGAGGGCTGGGTCAGTGCTGTGGGAGGTCCCTGCCGACGGAGATGAGCTTGTTGTGCTGGTGCTCAGTGATGGGGGGGGGGGGGAGTCCTCCGCCCTTCCTGAGTCAGCTCTTACCTGGATGACCCTTCCTCACCCGCTTACCCAGGGCCGGAGGTCGGCACCAACTTCTGTTAGAAAACACAAACACTGTCCTACCCCTTCTCCCCCAAAAGGGATGGTGAGCCGCTTGATCCCTCTTTTCTACAAACTGACAAGGGACATCCCTTGGACCTTTCTCAGATGGACCCCTGAGAAAGGAAAACTTAGTCCGCCATCCTGCTGGATGGGATCAGCTGTGTCCCTTTGCCTCCCAGACAGGAACGTGGGGAAAGCTTCCCCTTGCTGCATCTACCCCTCCTCCCCTCAGCCAGGTCCCTCTGCAGTGTGTGGGGGTTGGGGGGGGGGGAGGAGGGACTCATTCCTGTCACTGCCTGTAGTGGGAAGAGAAGCAAAAAGGTAAAAATTTTGATGCTAGGTAAAAGTTTTGATGCTTGGTGGTGAGGCCAGCTCTTCTGCCATTGTTGTCAGAGCCTGCCACAGATAAAATGTATACATGTCCAGGCCTCCAGGCCTTGCCATCTTCTTCTCCCAGTCTGGCAGCTTCCCCCCACCCCACAGCCCTTAGCCTCTGTACTGGGAGGCACAAGCTGTTTACAGCAGAAGGGGACCGGTGACCCGCCTGTAGGGCAGGATATTGGCTGTGGGCCACCACCAGAAGGGAACTCCCTGGCCTCTGTAGAACCAGAAGCTTTCAGATCTAGAAAGGCTAATTTTTGGTGCTCTTGTCCCTCAAGCTGTGTCCAGGCAGAGGCCCAAGTCTTGGCCAGGAAGTCTTGGTGACCCTGTGACCTTCCCCAAAGGGGGTTCCTGAGAGAGTCCAAGTGGTGCCTCTCCTCCCTGTCCCCCACCTTCTCCCCAAATGGGTGATGGGCAGACTGATTATTTTAGGGAATGGAAGCCTGGGGAATCAATGCCAAGCCCAGCAGGGACCAGAGGGGCATTTTCTGCCCACACACCAAGTTGACTTCAGCTGAGGTCTTGGTGCATTCAGCTTGACTGAAGCCACCCTAATTAAAAATACCCCACCACCACTATCTGCCACCATCCAAGCCTCCAGCCTCAGGCCTCTGCCCTTAAGTCATTTAAGCCTTGGGCTCACTGGTTCAAGTCAGGCCAGATTCATCTATGAAGAGTCTCCTTGTCAAAGGAGACCAGAGCCCTTCCTACTTTGAAAATCTTTAGGGAGACCTCTTCATCCCAGGAGCACCAGGAGATTTAAATTTGCATGTGAAGAGAATGACAAGCCAATATTAGTGACCACCCTGGGACTTGAGATGCTCCTTTCTCCTCAAGTTCAAAGCAGGTTGAGCTATCCGTCATCTGGGAGTATTTTCTCTTCCAGCCTCCTGGAAGCAAGGGAGAGATGGCCATTTTGGGTTGATATTAAGGACCTGAAATTAAGACACTACCCAGGCCCACCCAGAAACACTGGCTTCAAGACTCCTACTGGAGTGCCCCTTCTGTACACTTAAAACTAGATCCCTCAATTTACCTCCTACTTAGCTCTGGAGCCTCTAGGATGCTAGCCTCCTGTTGGCTTGAACCCACGCTCCTCACATACTTAAGTGCTACCAGCTACCCTATTGACTTTGGAAATGATGGTTGATAGAATTGATACAGGAACTCAGTTAGAGGGCAGGCACCCTAAAATGTCAGGAGTCCCTGGAGCAAAGTCCTCCTCTAGGAGCAGATTTCTGAAGATACTGGGAGGGTAGGGTTTTTTTTTTGTTTGTTTGTTTGTTTGTTTTGTTTTTGTTTTTTCTCTCTAGAAGGGACATTTGGGAAGAAATGTAGGACTATTCCTTGGAACTTATACCAAAGGTATTATTGGACATTCCTACTCTTCTTCAGGACTGCTTAAACTTCAGGTGACAGTAAGATTGTGGAGGAGGGCTGAAATCTTTTGTGAGCAGTTCTCCTGGGTGGTTATCCCCATGGACTGATGGGTCAGTCACCTTGGATAGCTCCTAGTCCTCAGAGAGTCCTGTATGTCCTTGAGGGGTTAGCAAGAGAGGTTAAGCAGATCAAGAGCCTGTCCTTCAGATTGACAGGAGATTGGTGCTGTGCCCACCAGGGTAGGAAGCAGGCAGGCATCATAGGGCAGCCAATCAGAGGAGGAGGGGACTGCAGAGGAACTAAGTGATCCTGCTGCAGCTCAACTGCCCTTGGAGGGTGGGAGCCAAGGGAGGAGGAGGAGGAGGAGAGGGGGTGGGGAAGGACATTCCACAGGCTTTTTTGGTCCCTGCTGGAAGTAGTAGAGGGAGGTTAAAGAAAAAGGGAAAGGAGCAAACCAGGACGGCAGATGATAAGAGCATCAAGACAAGGCTGTTGCTGTGTGTGAGGAACTTTGTCTGGGAGATAAAATTAGACATAGAGCTTGTTGACGGGGGTCCCAAGCGTGGGTCATGGACCATTCTGTCCCCGAGGATGGGACTGAAGCTGGGGTAAGGTGCTGCTCTGGAATTTGGGGGCTGGGTGGGGAGGGGACCCACCATGTCTTTTCTTAGTCTTCATTGGGATTGAGACACAAAATTAGAAAATGATTTGGTTACTGGCAGTGCTAGGTGAGGCGATGGAAAGACGGGTGAGGACTTTGGTATCTTAACTCCTTGTCTAAGTACTTTGGCTTCCTCCATGCTGATGCAGTTAGGGCTAGCAGAGAGGACTATGGTGCTGGGGTTCCTGGTGGCTCTGCTGGAATATTGTTGGGGGCTAGCAGTATCCATCAGTGCCTTCCTTCTTCCCCTTTCTTGTTGCCTCTCTGTTCAGTGGTACCAAGCAAGTCCTTTTGCCCCCACCCTTAATAAAATTGCCCAGGTCAACTGCTGGGTCACTTTAGGCTTGTGAAGAGAGGTAGGATTTCCTGGAGGTCCTGACTAATTAGCTGTCAGATAGCAAGACCTGTTGTCCCCTCAGCTCCATCCTTATCTGTTGCTGTATAAGTACTCTGCCAAGCTGGGACACTTTTGAGAGTGAAGGGAGTCCCAGTCATCATGCTAGACCAAGAAGCACACACTGACTTGTGTGACATTGACATTCCATGAGACCCAAATAGTATGAATGTGAAAAGCTTGTTAGGTAAGCTTTGCCTTAGGAGAGCTTCTTCTGATCACTAAACCCCTAAATGACTCAAGACTCAGGATAAAGGGCCTTTTTCTCCCCTCCATCTAGATAAGCCTTGGAGACTGACTTATCAGAAGGTATGGGAGGTAACAGCCTAAAGATAGCCCTTTCCCCTCAAGCTTTCCTTTCTCAATTTCTTTCCTCTGGCATAAACCTGGCAGTGTGCACATCCACTTTTTGCGTTTCTTCCCATTGTAAAACAGGTTTATGAAGAAAGATTGTGGGGGACTTATGTCCCCTGCCACTATAGCTGGGACTCCACAATGGTTCAGAATAGCCCCCACTTGGTTGGCCAACCCTTAGAGGGTGAGTCAGCCTCTATAGCTGGCCTTTGTTCATTGTCTGGGGGTAGCACTTGGATGTTGTGAGATAGCTGAGCCCAGCACTGCCAGGCACCCCACAAAGGGCACTGACCCCCAGAGAAGAGGAGAAGCTAGAGGGTCTAGAGCTAAGGGGAAGAGCAGAGAAAATAGCCTATCTTCTAAACTGGAAATATGTAGAATAGGTGTCTAGAGGGAGCCAGTCCCCATGTTGGGACATACTCTTGGGCTGTCTGTAGCAATAGAGGTCCGGCCCCGCTTTTCAGTGTTCTCCTATCCTCTTACCTGATTCCTACTCGTTGCTCTGCATCCATATTCAGCATGTACCAGGTTTACTCTTCTCTCCTGGGGTCTAGAGCCAGATTCTGTTATGGTTCAGGGTCTAGATTAAAAGTAGGATTAGCAAGACTGAGTCCTGGGCGGCAAATCTGAGTGAATACCCACAGTAGCATCTGCCCTTGGGTCCTCAGCTCACACTGGTCAGCAGTAACAGGCACAGAACCCCTTGCTGGCTCTTGGTTTTCCTGTAGGGGAAGCTCCCTTCTCCCCACCCTGCTCCCTGTGCCTGTGCTGTATTCTGATTCTCTGCATTCCCTCTGGGATCTGGAGCCATAGTCTCAGGTCTCTCCTCTCCCTCTTACAGACTGATGGTGCTGACCTTTGGGACAGTCCCTAGTCCCTGGCCTAGCCAGATAGCTAGCAAGGCAGCCTCAATAAATACCCTGGTGAGAGAGCAGGACTTTGGGCACTGGCCAGGGTTCCTCCTGGATCCTGGGGTCTCTACCCCATCTCTTGGCTTGGGGAGGCTAATGAAGCAAGTAATGACAACCCTCTCCTCTGACCTAGTTGCTGTTTCTTTCCCTCTAACCGTAAGTACTTGCCCTCTCTCCTCACCTTCTCCTGTCTTCTGCCTTCTTCCTTGTTCTTACCTCCTGGCTCCCTCCCTGCCACCTCCCACCTACTCCCCACCATCCACCCCACTCACCCCTACCATCCTCCAGATCAAGCGTTTCCTGGAGGACACCACCGATGATGCAGAATTGAGCAAGTTCGTGAAGGATTTCCCAGGAAGTGAGCAGTGCCACCCACCGGAGGTCAAGACTAGGGTGTGCAGGCCCCAAATCTCAGAGCCAAGACCCCAGGCTCCAGACCTCTATGATGATGACCAGGAGTTCAGAGCCCCCTCGTGGCCCCAGTCCTCTGACAGCCAGCAGTACATCTGTGCCCCAGCTCCTCTCAGCCCTTGCAGCAGGCCCCGCAGCCCATGGGGCAAGCTGGATCCTTATGATTCCTCTGAGGTAGAGACTCCAGCCCTGCCTTTGTTTTTCAGTGGGCGGGTGCAGAAGACCCAGGGAAGGAACTGAAAAAATATGTGAAAGAGTACATGCATGTCCATGTGCGTTTTTGTGTGTGTGTGTGTGTGTGTGTATGTGCGCACATGTGCACGCGCGAAAGATTAGGTCCTCTCTCTCCTGTTTCAGAGCCCCAGCTCTGAGGATTTTTACACCGAGGGTATTGGAAACTGGTCACATTTGCAGGGGCAAGAGGCCTCATAGGTAGGAACTTGGGAACTCAAATGTGGCACTACTCCTTTAAGGTTGAAGCAGAAACTTAGAAGACAGAAGACTGGTGCTGGTCCCCTCCTAATGCATTTTGCCTTCTTGTCCTTAGGATGACAAAGAATATGTGGGCTTTGCAACCCTCCCCAACCAAGTTCACCGAAAGTCTGTGAAGAAAGGCTTCGACTTTACCCTCATGGTGGCAGGTAGAAAGGGGCAGGGTGGGATTGGGCAAGGGGTGTTTCATGTGGTGTTAGGGTGTGTGTGTGTGTGTGTGTGTGTGAGAGAGAGAGAGAGATAGAGGGAGAGAGGGAGAAAGGGAGGTGGGGGGGGGAATAGGGAGAAAGCACATAGCAAATGACTACAGCTTTTTGGAAAATAGCCAGGAACCCCAAAACATGTTGGTGTAGAGGAATGAGGTGGTACACTTGGCGAACAGTTTTCTAGTATTTTCCCTTTTCTTGTGACCTTGAAAAATCTCTTGCTCTCTCACCTTCATTCAAATGAGAAAGCTAGGCAAATGAACCTCTGCTTCCTTCAAGCTGTAAAATGCTGTGGTTTGGTTAGTTTAGCCCCAACTAAAAAGAAAAGTAGTTCACCCCAGGTGATCAGGTGGGACTGCCTCTGGGCTACATGCAGATCTTATCTTCTGACTTGGCACCTCTGTCCTATCAGGAGAATCTGGCCTGGGTAAATCCACTCTTGTCAATAGCCTCTTCCTCACTGATCTATACCGAGATCGGAAACTCCTTGGTGCTGAAGGTAAGAAAAGGAGAAGAGAATGAAAACAGGCAGGCAGGCCTAACTTGGAAAGTTAAAAACTCATTCCAGAGTCATGGGGTGTGAGTTAGGGACCTTCCCCAGCATGCTTGAAGCTATGGCTTCCTAGAGAGACTGATTATATCCCTCTATAGGCCTTTCTGGCCTGGAAGCACACCAGCCATTTCCCTAAAGATTTGGGTGCTGAAGCAGGGCAGGGACCCGAATCCTGTTCTTTGAATGAGTGTCTGAACCCCACCCCCCCACCCCAAAGGATTTCAGGAATCTAAGAAAAAAAGCCGGGAGCAGAGAAGAGGCTGGGGCCAGAGCCAACAGCCACCGGCATTTCCTGTGTTGGGAAACATGTTCCTTGCTGGTTCCCAGAGAACAGGCCCTCCTGCAGCATGGGGGTGGGAAGGAGGGCAGTGTGGATGAAGCAGTCTGGGCAGCAAAGTTGTCTGGGGTGAATGGTTTGTCCTCATTGGGCAGGTCTCTGCCCTTGCCCTTGCCTCAGTTTCCCCCTTCTCCAGAGCGGATCATGCAAACTGTGGAAATTACTAAGCATGCGGTGGATATAGAAGAGAAGGGTGTGAGACTGCGGCTCACCATTGTGGACACACCAGGTTTTGGGGATGCAGTCAACAACACAGAGTGGTATGTCTGACCAAGCACAACCCCAGCTGTCTTTGCCCCACTTATCTGTTCCATGCACATACATAGGTCAGGTCACACACAGGAACAGACACAGTCATAATTGTCAGGAGGAAGAGATTTGTGACCTTAGGCATGCTTTTACTGGATAGTTGTTTTGTATAAGAAGAAAAGAACTGGAATAGTTTCTAATATTCCTTTCAACTCTGATCTATGATGGGTACACAAGAAAGAAGAGCCTCAGAAAAGCAAACACATCTGAAAACTGGTAGCACAGGGCATGACATATAATAGGTGTTTTATTAGGTGTAAACACCACCCTCCCTTCCTCCTCTTCCTCCTCCTCCTCCTCCTCTTCCTCCTCCTCCTCCTCTTTTCCCAATAGCATTTTCAGATGCTATAAACAAGTCCTGTTGACTGGACACTGAAGGAGCATGGAGGAAAGATTGAAGGGAAGAAAAGACAAAAGAAAAAAGATGGTGAAACTTGTATAAATTGCAGGCACCCTCCAGGTTATCTGCCATCATATGTGCATATAGCAATCCCTAGCTTTTAATTTTTTAATGGGTTGGAGGGATGCTTATGTAATTGTCAGATCTAAGTAAGTAGATGAGCATAACAGAGGTAGTGCCTTTGATGGAAAAGTTAGGCAGGAGGTTCTCAGATCCCTAGCCTGACAGTTCAAATCTTTTTTTTTTTTTGGCAGAACTATGTTTGAACTCAGGGTCATTCTCTTCTCCCCCTAGTTTGCTAGGCAAGCACTTGAGCTGTGTCCTGAGAGTTTAAATCTTGGTATTTAGTAACTTGGTGACCTTGAGCAAATGGCTGCATTTTTATTTCTTCAACTGAAAAATATCAGCCCTTTCCATTTCACCTAATCGATCTGAAAAATCACCCAGAATGACATCTGTATGTTATACTCATGAATTTTTTTTTTGCCAGTCCTGGGGCTTGAACTCAGGCCCTGGGCACTTCCCTGAGCTTTTTTTGCTCAAGGCTACCACTCTACCACTTGAGCCATAGCACCACTTCCAGCTTTTTCTGCTTATGTGGTACTGAGGAGCCAAATCCAGGGCTTCATGTATGCAAGGCAAGCACTCTACCACTAAGCAACATTCCCAGCCAAATATACTCATGAATTTTAACAATGGTAACTGCAGGACAGCCATCATAACATGGAGCTCCTTGTTCAAAAATGATTAAGAATTTTATGATGGTGACTGAAAAGCTTCATAGACTGCACACTCATGATGTTGACCCTAGATAATTGCTTTACGAACTAATCAGACCCTTCCTTACCTACTTTCTGGACCCTCATGACATGCTTTATCATTGGAATAACTTCCTCTCAGTGGAGCTGACTTGTTCATCAGCTTTACAGTCTGATCTTTGAGAGAGGATGGTCATTTCTTACATTCTGGGCTAGTTCATGGTACATGGGACATGATCTCCATCAATGTTCCTGATGGGTTGGGGTAACCTCCACATCATCATCACCCTTCCTGCACTAGTAGTATGCTTCAGCAAGCAACTTGTTTGAAATTCTAGCCCCATCCAATACCTGGTTCTTGCTGTAGTATGATTTTTTTTTCAATTTACTTACCTCCTTTTATCTCCAATAATAATAATAATAATCACTTTCATAATAATAGTTTCATAATAACAATTCTACTTCCCACTTAATAGTCAATGAGCAGGAATTTATGAAACATACACACTAGGTATCCAGTCTGTATTGGACATTTAAGAAGTATAGACAAATAGAGGCATCAATGGCTCATACTTGTAATCCTAGCCACTCAGGAGGCTGAGATCTGAGGATCCTGGTTCAAAGCCAGCCCAGGTAGAAAAGTCTGTGAGACAGACAGACAGACAGAAGTGGCGCTGTGGCTTAAGTGGTAGAGCATTAGCCTTGAGCACAAAGAGGCTCAGGGACAGCACCCAGGCCCTTAGTTCAAACCACAGGACTGGGGAAAAAAAGTGCAGACTAGTGTGAGTGATTTTTATTGCAGAGGGGAAGAGGGTCTAACATGTGTATCCATCAGGTAACAAATTAGCAAACAAGACAGGCCATTGAATGGCAAACACTTGAGTTATGAGTCAAAAAACCAGAAACTGAGACTGAGAATTTACTAGCAAAATATTCTGGTAACATCTCTTAGAGTCTCTAGATATAATTGTGTGTGTGTGTGTGTGTGTGTGTGTGTGTGTGATAGTATTGGGGGTTGAACTAAGGGCCAAGGCACTGTCCCTTTGATTTTTTGCTCAAGATTGGTGCTTTACCACTTGAGCTCCACTTTGGGCCTTTTGGTTATCATTAGAGGCTCATAGAGGGGAGTAGAATTCTGCCTGGGGCTGGCTTTGAACCTTGAGTCTCAGATGTCAGCATCCTGAGTAGCTAGGATTACAAGTGTGAGCCACTGGTGCCCAGCTCAGATTTAATTTATGTCTAAAATAAGAATGATCATGCTCAAAATATACAGTGTCCACCTAATCGGAAGATAAAGATTAAACAGAAAAGCTAAAGACCTGGAACTAAAACTTCATAAGTAAATAAATTTATATATGGCTATATATATGCATTACTTAATCACAAGGATACATTCTAAAATTAGGCATGTCATTGTACAAACATCATAGAAGGTACTTACACAAACTTAGATGGCTTATGTTAATTACCTGATATGGCCTCTTGGTGCAGCCAAGAAATGAGATTGCTGAAGCTGCTGCTAGCATAACACAAATACTCTTTTACAATTAACTTTGTTTTTATTTGTAGAAGGCATACATTAATTAATATGACATAGCAAATACATAAAGTAATAGTCATGTATCATCACTACCACATATTATATATGTTAATTGTATGTGTCATACTTTTATTAATTTTTTATTTTTAATTCTTAGTAGTACTAGGATTTTAGGTCAAGGCCTTATGCTTGGTAGGCAGGGACTCTACTACTTGAGCCGCAGCTCAGCCTTGTTTTGCCATTTTAGGCATGGTCTTGTGGTTTTGCCTGGGGCTGGCCTCCGGCTGTCATCCTTCTGCCTGCTGGCTCCCTCACAGCTAGATGCATACCACTATGCCCATTTTATTGATTGAGTCTTTATAGATTTTTGTCCTGGGCTCACTCACCTCAGACAATAGTTATCCTGATCTCTGCCTCCTATGTGGCAGTACATTAGGTTTGTTTACATGAGTATCACCACAAACACATAAATTATGCATCGGTGCTATGATATACTGCTGATTTTTTAGCCCCATTATAATCCGATGGCACCACTGAAGTATATGAGATCCATAGTTGGTCTGAACATTATTATGCAGTGGATGACTATATGTGTGAATGTGTAAGGAAGGGAAGAGCAGTGTTCACTGATGTAGTCAAAAGAGTCTTCATGGAAGAGCTGGTTCTTGAATTGGGCCTTGAAATGGGCTTGGAAAGGTGGGAAAAGAGTGGGAACCACATGAGCAAAGGCTCTGGAGGATGGACTTTAAACCTGACTTAGGGTTTCTCTGGCTTCTAGTTGGTTGGTGTTCACCTGTAGCCACCTTGCTATTATTATTATTGCTATTATTATTAGTTTGCTGTGGAGCTTGAACTCAGGGCCTGGGCACCTGTCACTGAGCTCTTTTGTTCAAGTTTAGTGTGCTACCACTTTGAGCCACAGCCCCACTTCTGGTTTTCTGTGGTTAATTGAAGATAATAATCTCACAAACTTTTCTGCCTGGGCTGGCTTTGAACCACGATCCTCAGATCTCAGCTTCCTGAGTAGCTAGGATTACAGGCCTGAGCCACTAGCACCTGGGCACCTTGCAATTCTTACTGCTTTGTTTGATCACCTGAGCACTTTTTCTTGTTAAACTAGAATTTTTTGAATTTTGCCTCTGTACTCACTCTAACTTCCTATCAGGACATATGAAATACATCTCTGTCCCACTGAGGTATATTGCTGAAGATGTGGTAAAGCAAGCCAGGGAATAACAGTATCTAGAAAATGCTGTTCATCATGGGCTACTTCTTTACAATCCCAGAGCCCACTAGACAGCCCCTACTCCCACAGTTTCTCTGCTTGTCTGTCCCTGCCCAGCTGGAAACCTGTGGCAGAATACATCGACCAGCAGTTCGAGCAGTACTTCCGGGATGAAAGTGGCCTGAACCGAAAGAACATCCAAGACAACAGGGTGCACTGCTGCCTGTACTTCATCTCACCCTTCGGCCACGGGTATGGTCTGAGCCTGAGTCTCCTGGCACCACCGGGTGCTACTAAGGGAACAGGCCAAGAGCACCGGGGCAGGGCTGCCACTAGCAGGTGGTCACAGATTCCTGTTCCCCAGGCTCCGGCCATTGGATGTTGAGTTCATGAAGGCCCTGCATCAGCGGGTCAACATCGTGCCTATCTTGGCTAAGGCGGACACACTGACACCTCCAGAAGTGGACCGCAAGAAACGCAAAGTGAGGGAAGCTGGTGGGGGAAAGGGAGCAGGTGGGCTTCTAAAAAGGATGGGGTGCCCAGAACTGTGGGCCCCTCATCTATTTGTCAGATCCGGGAGGAGATTGAGTACTTTGGAATCAAGATCTATCAGTTTCCTGATTGTGACTCTGATGAGGATGAGGACTTCAAATTACAGGACCAAGCCCTAAAGGTGGGGCCACCCCAGGGCACCCCTTTCACATCTTGTTTCTCCTGGGAAGAAGAAGGGGGTAGAAGTCTCTGTAATGACAGTCTTTGGGGTGGGAGAGGACCCTAAGCTTCCTAGAAAAAACAGAAGTCACAGATGAAAAGAAACAGGTGAGGATGTGGGGTGCTGACAGGCACCCCTAACTTCTTTTAGGAAAGCATCCCATTTGCGGTAATTGGCAGCAATACTGTGGTAGAAGCCAGGGGGCGGCGAGTTCGGGGCCGACTTTACCCTTGGGGCATCGTGGAAGGTAAAGGACTGAGCTTATGATCAAAGTATCTCCTTGACCTTAGTGGCTCCCGTCTACCCATACCCCTGGCTGACCTCAGCCTTGCTATGCAGTGGAAAACCCAGGGCACTGCGACTTTGTGAAGCTGAGGACAATGCTGGTGCGTACCCACATGCAGGATCTGAAGGATGTGACTCGAGAGACACATTATGAGAACTACAGGGCACAGTGCATCCAGAGTATGACCCGCCTAGTGGTGAAGGAACGAAATCGCAAGTATGACCAGGAGCTAGGACAAGCCCTTCCCTTATTCTTCTACAGGCCCTGGGCTCAACCCAAGATGGTGATGGGGTCCCCCTAACCTTACCACCCTCCTTTCCCCTTCCCCCCTAGCAAACTGACTCGAGAGAGTGGTACTGACTTCCCCATCCCTGCTGTCCCACTAGGGACAGATCCAGAAACTGAGAAGCTAATCCGAGAGAAAGATGAGGAGGTGAGAACAGTATATGGTAGTAGGGGTAGACAGCATGGGAGGTCCCCTGTTTGATCATAGATGTATCTCCTGGTTTGGAGACAGAAAAATCCTGGTTCTGGTGCATATTTGGTATGTTCCCAGCCTCCATCATATCTCAGGGCTACCAAGGCCCTGACTCAAGGGATTGAAAGTTGGGGACAATTTCCAAATACTACAGGACTCCAAAAAGCCTCATTTTGATGCATATGACTATTCCAGCTGCGGCGGATGCAGGAGATGCTACACAAAATCCAAAGACAGATGAAGGAGACCCATTAACTGGCTTTTGGACCTGGATATTTAAATCTCTTCTTTCTGCTCACGCCAGCCCCTCCCAGCACCAGCTCTGCTCAGGCCCCTGCAGCTACTGCCACTTCGCCTTATATCCCTGCTGACTCCTCAGAGACTCAGAGGAAATAAAGTTTAATAAATCTATAGGTGGCTTCTTGTGTCCCTGTCTGTATTTTTATTTTATTTTGGCAGTTACACTAGGGTTTGAACTCAGGGTCTTGTACTTGCTAGGCAGGGATTCTACTCATTTGGGCCAATCCGGTAGGATTTCACTTTTCTTACCTCAGGTGACCTGGATTGTGATCTTCCTATTTTACATTTTCTTGGGTGTAATAGGGCTGTCACCATGCTCAGCTTTTTCTTGAGATGGAGTCTCATTAACTTTTTGCCTGGGCTGGCATCTATTGAGTTTGAAAACACTTCCTGAGCAGTTAGAATTGCAAGTGTGAACCACTGTGCCCAGCCCTATTTATTGCTAACACCTTATGAGACAAAGATCCCAGGACCCAGTTTAAGAGTCTGATAGTGTGGGTTATTGGTTTCTGGCCTTTATTAAGAGGGTGGGGGGAGGGTTCCCCTTCCAACAACAATGCTTGGTGTGCTTATCCTCTTTATCTTATTGGCTATAATAACCTACCTCTATTATCTGCCTCTCTACACCTTTCCTTCATATGGTACCTTTTAATTTAGTAACAGTATTGGGTGTGACACCAGGCTTCTGGGGAAAAATTATGTACAGCCTCCTGACTTCCTATTTCTCCTGATCTTGGTAAAGGGGTATGCAGAACTAAGCTCTAAAACTCTAGGACACTTACGATAGAGCATTGGACAATCTATCTGCTAACGTTGCTCACTATTCTAAACTCTGGAATTAAAGTAGTGAACACTGGCATGGTTCCTGTTTTCCTGGAACTTGCTAATTGCACCATAAAGACGTGAAGACGCCAGCAGTGGGGCCCTGGTGTAGCGTTCAGACCTTATTTCAGCTAACTGTTGAGAGAATTCGAATCCAGCGTTCTGGTTCCTGGTGTCGCGGGGCCACGGCGACCTCCAGCGGCCACCCTCCGTCCTTCTGTGGCCCGCTCTGGATTCTGGAGGTGTCTTTTACACAGACCCAGGAGGCCGCAGCCAGCTAGTGGCTGTCTCAGATGGTATCCGCCCCACCCTGCGCCTATGAAAGAGCTTTATATGGGACTGGAGACAATGCAGGTCTTGAAGGACAGCAGGATCATTTGTCGATTAAAAAAAAAAAAAAAAAAAAAAAAGAATTGGAGGAAAGAGGAAACCCCTGCGCCGCCTATTGGAGGTTCGGAAGGAGTTTCAGGCCCAGCCTTTCCCCTCTTTCCTAGTTTGTGGGGGTTTTCTACAATTCTTTGTTTTGGAATCTCATGATGACCGCAGCGAAACAGAACTCCACTGAGTTAGACTGAAGCGCCACCGGGATCTACTAGAGAACTACCCCACGGGTTTGGCCGTCACCGAAAGTGGCCTCAAGACCTCTGCCCCTAACGATGCCCCGCCTTCAATTGCGCTACCAGTAGGCGACAGGCCGCTCCCACTTCCGGCCCCCGGAATCATAGTCAGCAGCCCCCTTGTGCTGCTTTCCCATTGGTTGCCGCAGGGACGCGCTGTGATTTCCCATTGGCTGTGTCTGCTCTCTTGCGCCGGCACCTCCTCCCTCCAGGTACTGTCTTGTCTTCGGGCACCCGATAGGCTAAAATCTCAGAGGGCGTCTGCTCACTCGACCAATGAGCGGTGTGGAGAGTGAAGGCGGCAGCTGCGTGATGAGGTAGGGCGGGACTTGGTGTGGCCATTGGCCAGGGCGGGTACAGGCCCTCGATACGATTGGTTGAGGAGAGGGGACCGTGGTGGGGTTCGAGCTGCGCGGCCTCAGCAGCTGCGGGAGACGGAAGTGGTGAGAGCGCTGTTTTGGAGGGTCGGGCGGACACTGCCTGGGTGAGTCACTGTGCCCCGTGCACGGCCAGCCTGGAAACCGCAAAGACCTCGCCTGGCTCGGCCCGCCCCGGCCCCCCACTGGCTTTCTTGAGTCCCGCCTTCTGTCATTCGGGGCTCCACCTCCGAGTCTTTAGGCTCCGCCTCTGGAACCTGGGCACCTGGGATCCCCTGCCAGCTTGGCCCGTGCCCCAGGACCAGATTCCCTAGGTCAGGGAGCCCTGGGTTTCCCAGGTCTGGTCCCTGTTCCTCCTCCCTCTGTTTTCCTGAGGCTGCGTGCCAGTGGGCGGTGAGGCAGCACCTCTGGCTGGCCGCTTGCGGGCTCCCCAGTGAGGGAAGGTGGGCAGAGGCAGAGGGTAGTGTGATCGGGAGGAGATGGGTGGGACCACACGTAGAGGCTTTTAGCTCCGCAGAAGCTATGCCACACTGCTTCAGAGACATAGCAGGTTTGAAGGAAAATATCAATTGACTTAGGCCTGGCTCACTAAGTGGGCCTAGAAGGCCTCATCCTGAAATTCTTGTTACTTGAACTCATTTGACAGATACTGACTCCCAGGCCTACCTGGTCTGATTCTTTTCCTGTTGTGTTGTCTCATCCCCATAACCTCCACCCTACTTGGTGTCAAGTATGCTCAGCAGGCCCTGTCCAGCCTTGTTGCTCTCTTATCATAGGTTGTGGTCCTTTCTCTCTTGCCCCATGCTTTGGACTCTGTCCCCAGTAATAGGTCAGGTGGATGCTACTCCCATGCCCAAGAGAATAGCCAAACAGTCCTGTGGATTCATGCTTCCACAAGGGCAAAAATTGGGGAGCCTTTGTATCTTCAAAGTTGGAATTTCTTCTGCTCTCCTGAAAAGGACAGAGTTTGGAGTATTCTACTTCGCCTTCTTGATCTGTGAGTCAGTACTCAGTTCTACTGAGAAAGTGTGGATGATACTCATTTCTGCTTCAGAGTTTTATGGCTAACTTATGCCCTGCAAGACACTTGTTGCTTTCTCCCCATGTGGCCCCCATTGTCCCTATCTGGTGTGGTGGCTTGTTGAGAGCTTGGATCTTGTGTGAGGGAGGAAAATAAGAACTGTAGAGAAGTAGTTCAGGGGTAGGTGTGGGGTGTTTATTGATTCTATGGTAATGTTAATGGTGCTTTTTACTCTATGTTTGTGTTTCTTTATAGTGACTAACAGACAGTCAGGACCCTCACCCCGGTAGAATGGTGAGTAATTTTTCCTCATACCATTGTGTTTTCTATAATCCTGAATTCATCTCTGTGAAGCTGCCCCACCCCTCTTGGACCTTGAGCTCCAGGCTATTCTGTTCAACTTCTGGACAGGTTCCTCTGCCCTGGAGATATATGAGAATTTCTTTTTTCTTTTTGTGCTGTAGGACCTTGCAACATACTGTGCAAGTGTTCTACCACTGAGCTTCACTCCCAGCCCAGGATTTCTTTGGAATGAAAAAAATAAGGCAGTTTACAGCCCTGGATCCAAAACCTATAGTTGTTTTTTCTGCATGTGCTTCATTAACAGTCCTCCTCTTCCTTTTCTTGTGTTCCTGGGAAAATCTCCACATTCTAGCCTAAAGAGCCAGGTCTTCATTACTTAAGGTCCTTGGACTTCTGATGGGTCCCAGGAATGTTGTAGTTGCTGTATCAGGAGTGATTCCACCAAATCTGTTGGCCTTCTCCAGCTCCTAGGTACTGCGGTCTGTCACTGTATGTGACAGCTGACTTTATATCTTACAGTATAGCATCCTGAATATCACTAGATGTAGTTTATCACAATCCTATGGATTAACTGTAACTGCCCTTTCACCCCAAATTCAGGGAATTCCTTAATTCCTGAGAACTGGGGGAAGGAAGCAGTGAGATGAGAAAGGAGAGCTGCAAAGCCTCCCTAGACCTGGCTCTTAACCTTCTTTTCTATTTCAAGTGCCTGGGCTTAGGGACAGGTCAATGAATTCAGTTGGTGAGAGGACTCCTTCCTTCCCAATTTTTCTTCTATAGAAATGTGCATCTGTGGTGTGTGTAATATTGGTCTGGTTTCTTCTCAGAAAGCCCCTGTACTCTTTCTTTTCTCTCTCCTTCTCTCTCTCCTTTTCTCTCTCTTTCTTTCTGTCGCCAGTCCTGGTCTGGGCACTGTCCCTGAGCTTCTTTTGCTCAAGGCTAGCACTCTATCACTTGAGCTACAGTCACTTCTGGTTTTTTCTGTTTATGTGGTATTGAGGACTTAAACCAGGACTTCATGCATACTAGGCAAGCACTCTACCAATAAGCCACATTCCCAGCCTTCCCCTCGAGGCTGAGATCTGAGGATTGTGAGTCAAAGCCAGCCTGGGCAGAACAGTCCTTGAGATCTTACCTCTAATTAACCATCAAAAGGCTGGAAGAGCACAGCCTTGAGCACAAATGCCAAGCAATAGCATGAGGTCCTGAGTTCAACCCCCTATACCAACACACACACACACACAAAAAAAAAAAAAAAAAAAAAAAAGGGAAAGAATCCCAGAGGCCCTGGCCTTACAATCTTTTTTTTACCTCTGTGATACCCTGAAAAATAGCATACTCTTCATATTCGCCTCAGCTAATTGTAAATCTAGCACCACCACTTAAATACATTAGGCAAATCGCATACTAGCTAATCATACTTTCTAAATCTAAAGTCTCATCATAAAAACAGGATAAGACTTCCTGGAGAGTTCAAGTATGTTTGAAATGGCTTGACTCATAGATGTTTAATAAAATGTCGTTTTTTTTTCTTTCCATTAGTTCCCTTCCCCAAAAACAAAACCCCTGCTTTTCTGAGTACATGAAATTTCAGAGGTCTAGCTAGCTCCTTTTGTTATTCTTAGTGACAGTGTACAACTTGTACTCATTATTTCTTGGTCCTCAACCCAACTTTTTACCCTCTTTCTACCCCTGAGTTTGATTTCTTTTTCTTTTTTCTTTCTTTCTTTTTTTTTCTTGCCAGTCCTGGAGCTTGAACTCAGGGCCTAGGCACTGTTCTTGAGCTTCTTTTGCTCAAGGATAGCACTCTACCACTTGGGCCACAGGTGCCACTTCTGGCTTTTTCTGTTCGTATGGTACTCGGAATCGAACCCAGCACTTCACGCATGCTAGGCAAGCACTCTACCACTAAGCTACATTCCCAGCCCTGATTTCTGGTGGTTTTTTTTTTTTTTTTTTAACAGCTTCTCTAGTCTTTT